AACAAATAAGGAAATTGGAAACAGTAAAACAAAACCTCCCAACTAAAAAAAGCCCAGGCCCAGATGGAGTCACAGCAGAATTCTACCAGACATTTAAAGAAGATCTACATCCAATACTACTTAGTTTATTCAAAAAATAGAAATGGAGGGAAAACTTCCAAATTCCTTCTATGAAGCCAGCATCACTCTCATACCAAAGCCTGGTAAAGATACAATCAAAAAAGAAAGCTATAGACCCATATCCTTAATGAACATACATGCAAAACTTCTCAGCAAGATACCTGCAAACCATATACAGACACACATCAAAAAGATCATCCACCACAATCAATTCGGCTTTATCCCAGAGATGCAGGGCTCAAAGACAAAACACATATGGTCATCTCAATAGATGCAGAGAAGGCCTTTGGCAAAATTCAACATGCATTTATGTTCAAAGTCCTAGAGGGAATTGGACTAGAGGGGACATACCTCAACATAATTAAAGCCATATATAACAAACCCACGACCAAAATCATTCTAAATGGAGAAATACTGGAAGCATTCCCATTGAAATCAGGAACCAGACAAGGCTGCCCACTATTTCCACTTCTCTTTATCAGTATTTGAAAGTCTTTCAAGTGCGATAAGACAAAAGCAGGAAATTAAAGGAGTAATAATTGGAAAAGAAGAGATCAAATTATTCCTTTTTTGCAGATGATATGATATTATATCTAAGGGACACCAAAAATTCCACCAGAAAACTCCTAGAAATTATTAATATGTTCAATAAAGTGGCAAAATGTTCAATAAAGTTACAAAATTAACCTACAAAAGTCTGTAGCCTTTCTATATACCAATAACAAGCAATCAGAGAAAAAGCACATGGAAACACTCCCCTTCACAATAGCTGCAAAATTAAAATAAAATATCTTGGAATAAACCTGAACAAATACATTAAAGAGCTCTACAATGAAAATTTTAAATCTTCAAAGAAAGAAATTGAGGAAGACATCAGAAGATGGAAGGACCTCCCATGCTCATGGATTGGAAGAATTAATATTG